CACCTACACATACAAGTCAGCAGTGTGGTACATTGGAGCACCAGCACCTAGATGTTCTTCTCCGAGCCACTCACCATCCTGATTTGGAGATATATTGCCATTCCTTCACTGTCATAGGGTTAAAATCCCAGAATCCCTCCCTAACAGCACTGAGGATCTAACTGCACCAAATGGAATGCAGTGGTTCAAAAGCATAGCTCACCACCACCTTCTCCAGAACTATTAGAGAACCAGCCAGTGAAATTCTTACAAGGGTCAACTGTGTAGATATATGAAGGATGTTTCCATGGATAGGCTGCTGGCATTCTGGAAGCAGGTGAAACAGTGTGAGAGTGATGAATCTTTGGAATTCTCCAACCGAGATTCCCGTGGAGGATCAATCTTAGAGTATGTTCAGATTCTTTCCACATTAAAGACATTAAGGGATAAGGCAATAGTGTGGAAAAGTAGTATTAAGGTTGGAGATCAGCCATGATCTGGTTGAATGGTGGAGCAGGCTTGAGGGGCCAAATTGCTGACTCTTACTCCTATTTCCTACGGTCCATTTTCTGTAAGTGGATCTATTGTTTGTTGACTGTTTCTGTAATTCAGTGGTTTTCACTGTTGAAGACTCCTTGCGAGGAATGCCACACTCTGAGACCTGCAAATATGATCATACTCTTGTAGGTTTCATCTGATCTAACATTTGAAAAGTTGTGATTTTACACAAAAGATATGAGTGCTTTTTGCAGAAAAAAAATTAATTGTACCCAGTCATCCAAGTGATGCTGTAGAGAACTGAGGAATAATGATGTAATTTTAAGTTTCATATGCAGCTTATCATATTGTCTAAACATTCTAATACACTTCATATTTAATAAATTACTTTTAAAATGCACTCATTGTTACACTTGGTGCACAGCAAGATGCCACTGCTTGTAATGAAATAATCTTGATTGAGGGAGAATATTCATCAGTATGTAGAGACCTCCTTTCAGTAAACTGAACTCACTTAGAATTGCACTGAAATATCTGCCTTATTTATCATATCCTGTTTTGGTAGGGGTTGAGCTCATAAGTTTTGCTTATGATGGTTTGGTAAAATATGTTTTCTGCAAAGGTAACCTTCTCTTGTACAATGCAGATTGACTCAAAAATCTGTTACCAAGGGGGCATTCCCCAACACAGGAGTTTCCTCATTGATAGTCTCCGTTTTAGGTTGGTTTGGTTGAAAGCATTACCTTACAAAGCAAATATATAGTGTGGTTCTTTATTTTTGAACCTGTGAGCCATTTGTCATGGCTAAAAGGAAGGATTTGCATTTTTATGGAAATGTATCAGATCCTCAGACATCAAAACACCTTAGAACAAATGAATTACTATTGAACTCTTCATTATGTAGATAATATAGCATCCAATTTGCACCCAGCAAGGGCCCACAAATAGCTAACAAGGCTGCTATAGTGAGGGAGAAATTATGGCTAGGACCTGAGAAAAACTGTTTACTCCTCTTCAAATCATGGCATCTGATATTTTACATCCCCTACACAAGATGCTCAGCTATCTGAAAAAACAAATTGGAATTTGGTAACCTCCTTTATTTTTATAATTTTTATTATTCTTTTAATGGGATGCTGCAGCCTTTGATAAGGATAGTATTGGATTCCCATCTCTAATTCCCCTGGAGAAGGTGGTGGTGAGGTGCGTTATTAAACTGCTACAGTCCAGCGGTGCAGTAATGTCAGAAGGAGGTTCCAGGATTTACATCCAGCAACAGTGAAAGATTATCAATATAGTTTCAAATCAAGAAGATATAGGGCCTGAAGGCAACTTGCAACTTCAGGAGTTGCCATGCATTTGCCACCGTTGTCCTTCTAGGTAATAGCGTTCATGGATTTTAAAGATGTTGCCAAAAGAGATGGTGAGTGCTGCAGCTCATTTTATAGATGGTGCACACTGCCGCTGTACATTGAAGTTGGAGGAAATGATTGTTGAATGTGAGAAATATAATGTTAACAAAGTATGCGATTTTTTTTTTTTTTTTTCCCTGGATGGTGTAGAGTTTGTTGTTGGAGTTGCACTTATCCAGGAAAACTGAATGTATTCCATCACAGGCCTAATTTGTGGCTTAGAAATAGTCAGCATGCTTTAGGGTGTCAAGAAACAAATTACTTGCTGCAGAATTTCCAGGTTCTTCGGTTTCTGGTTACTGGTAATCCTCTATCTTTGATAATGGGGGATTTAGGGATCATAATACTGTGGACTGTCAAGGGGAACTCATTTGATTCTTTTTTGTTGGACATCATTATTGCCTGCCACTTGTGTGGTGCAAATATTATTTGCCACTTATCAACCAAATTAGATTATTGTCCAGGTCTTGTACATGGTCATAGATTATTTCAATTTCGGAGTGGCTGCGAATAGTCCTGAACATTGTACTGTCAGTCAACATCCCTGCTTTTGACCTTACACTGGGGGAAAGGTCATTACTCTGAGCAAATTTTGCAGTGATATCCCAGGGCTGAGATGAACATTATTCCGAAACATTTTCCTCTCCATTAAATTCTGCCTTGATATCAAGGACAGTTACTCACCCCTCATGTCTTCAGTTTAGTTCTTTAGTCCACACTTGGATGACACTGTATCAAGGTCAGGAGCTGAGTGACCAAGTTATTGCTCTATATGTGACACTCGATAACACAGTTAAGTACATTTTTCAGCACTTTGCTGATTATTGAGAGTGGACTGATAGGGTGGTAATTGGTGGGGTTTGATTTGCCTTGCTTATTATGGACAGGGTGTTTCCATATTGTTTGGTAGATATCAGTGTTGTAACTCTACTTCAACAACTTGTCTCAGTGCAAGGCTGATTTTAGAGCATAAGTCTTCAGCCTGTTGCCTGAATGTTGTCAAGGTTCATGGACTTTGCAGTATGCAGTATCTTAGTTGTTCATTGATATTACTTGGGGTAAATCAAATTGGTTGAATCTGTGATGCAGGGGACCTTCGGAGGAGGCTGAGATGCATCATCTACTCTGCACTTCTAACTGATGTTTGATGCAAACACGTAAGTCTTGTCTTTTGCACTAATTTGCTGTGCAGCTCCATTGTTGAAGGTAGGGTATTTGTGGAGCCTTCTCCTATGGTTTGTTGGTTAACTGTCCACCAGACTACACAACTGCATATGACAACATTGCAGAGCTTTAATCTGATCCATTAGATGTGGGATCACCTAGTTTTGTAAATCACATGCTGCTTAAGCTTTATGACTTGCAAGTGTTGTAGCTTCAGCAGGTTGACAGCTCTTAATTATCTTTTTGTAGTGCCTCTCCTGGTATGCCTTCCAGTTGCTGCACTCTTCAACATTGATCCCTTGGCTTGCTGGAAATGGTAGAGTGGGGGATATGTCAGACCATGAGGTTACAGATTATGGTTGAGTACAATTCTGCTGATGACCTGCAGCATCTCGTGGATGCCCATTTTTGAGTTACTTGTTCTGCGCTGAATCTATACCATTTCATATTGTGGTAGTGTCATGCAACAAGATGGAGGGTATCTTAAGTGTGAAGGTGGAACCTCATCTTTACAAGGACAGTGTGTGATCTGTCCTTCTATGGTGTCACAAGCAAATGGATCTACAACAGTAGATGACTGATGGTAAAGTTTTTAATAGATTTTTTTCCATCCTGTTGTCTCACCTGCTGCAGGCCCAGACTGGCAGAAATGCCAGCTCAGTCAGTAACTCACCAGTCAGTCTACCCATCAAGGCACTCTTGATGCTGGGCATTGAGATTTGTCACCAAAGGTACATTCTTTGTCTTTGCTGCACTTGATGTGTCCTCCAAATTTTCTTCGACCTTGAGAAGTACTGATTCGTCAGCAGAGGGAGTTCGGTAGATGGTAATCAGTTGGAGATTTGTTTGCCAAGTTTGACCTGATGCCAGGAGACTTCGTGGAGTCCAAAGCCAATGTTGGGACCTCCAGGGGAACTCCTTCTTATTTGTATACCACCATGTTTTGGCACAATTTATTACAGCTGACTTTGCAAGTTTACAGAACTTGTGTGGACTGTGGTCGTTTTTGATGTCTAGGTTGATGCCAGGTGGTCTGTTTGGTTTTATTCCATTTCTGTAGTGTCTTGGTGCAACTTAAGCCAAATATCAGAGGTATTTTTAAAAGGATGAATTTGCAGAAAGTCAAATCTGGTCAGATCAGGTACAGACAATGTGCTTCCTTCTCTAAAGGACATTAATAAATCAAATTAGATTGATGACCTGTTAACTAGATGGCAGTTTCACTGTGCCATTACTTTTTTTGTTATCTTAATTAATTAATCCAGACTTTTATCAATTAATATAATTGATTGGTTGAATTTAAGTTCCACCAGCTGCTGTGTTGGAATTTGAAGTCATGGCCCAAGGGTTTTGCCTGGGCCTCTAGGTTACTAGATCAGTAACAGTACCATTATGCCAGTTCTTATTCTGTTGCCCCCAAAATTTTGTTTTTTGAATTTATATGTTGATTAATAGACTGCATGTATTTATTTGAGGGTGGCCTATTGGGAAATTCAGCTATTCTACACAAGTCCTGTTGAGACTTTAGTGACAGCGCAGACCATGCACCTGGGTTGGAGACAGAACTTTCGCACATTTCTTACCAAAAGTGTTCTGCTTATATCACAGAGTAGTAATCAATGAAGAAATCGGCCATTCTAATTTATCCAACTACCATCCACCATCCATCCGTTCTTTTCTAGTAATATAAGGTCATATAATAACATCACTAGTCAGTACCAAGCAATTGAAGTGCACTGGACCTGAGACTGAAAATGTCACAATTTTGATCTGTATAAGATTTATTGTAGCGTTCACATATTTTCTGAGATGGATACTTTGGAAACAGAGATGACACATTGAAGTTCAAGGCAATACATAGTGGTCTTGCCTGCAACGATGACATCCCTTGATTAAATATAAAAAATAAACTCTTACAATGATTTGTTTGTGACTTTCTTTTTGTAGCGGTTGAAGTCATTGCCACCTCTCCCCCGACAGATGAAAATAAGAATCTGTGGATCATTGTCGCAGTTCTGGTACCAGTAATTGTCGTGGTCGTCATCATCACAATTCTGTATTGGAAGTTCTGCCGAACAGACAAGCTAGAATTTCAGCCAGACACCATGAGCAATATTCAGCAGCGGCAAAAAGTAAGAAATTCTGGATTAAAGTTGATGAGCTTTTTAATTGAGAATGTTGAATGAAGGGCCAAGGCCTATAGTGCGGGATACCAGCTAGATTGAAAAGATTTGAGAAGGAGATGTAAATAAGGAAATAGTGATCAGGTGACTAATACTTTACAAAGAAATATTAATCAGTAATGTGATTCAGTAAGAGTAAGTGTGGTAATTTATAAAATGGAAAAGTAGGACTATGAACTTGAACATAAAAATAGGGAAGGCAGTTTGAAGGGAGACAATTTGGTTCAACTTGTCCATACAGGCAATGAAACAGCATTCTAATTAAACTCACGGTAAGCATGACACAATAGGAAGCAAGTGAGGCGATTGAGCAATGATCTTACTTATTATGTTTTGGTTCAGTATGTAAGAACCAATTCCGAAATATATATCTTATCAAATCATGCAATGATTTTCAGAGAGCTACAAATATTAAGTTGAAATTAATAATTTCAATTGTAGATATCCTGTGTTATACTTCTGAAGAATGTTGAACTTGGGAACTCTTGCTTTTCCCTATATATATGTAAATATAGATTTTGGTGTGGCAGATGGCATAAAATCTGGGAAAATTGGTATCTATGAGGAACTTCAAAAGTTCATTGACACTTTTGCTGTCTGACTGGATAGTTAAATAAGGAAGTGTGCGGTGGAGCACTTTGATATAAAGAGAATGGAGAGACAGTATAGAATAAAGGCTATTCTGAAGGATTTTGCAAAAGCAGAGAGAACTGGGTATAATCGCACTTAAGTTACTCTATGGAAGGTGAATTAGATAAAGCTGTTAGTAAAGCATACGGTATTGTAGGCTTCATCAAATAGGGCACAGAATGACTAGCAGGGTGGTTTTGATGAACTTGCATAACACATCAGTTAGAACTCAGCTGGAGTATTATGTACAATTCTGTGCCCCATGCTTTAGGAAGAATGTGAATGCATTGGAGAGAGAGCAAATTAAGTTTAGGAGAATGGTTCCAGGGATGAGACACTTCAGTTATGAGGAAAGATTAGAGAAGTTGGGAGAGGAGAGTCCATGAGAAGATTTGATAAACTTTTTTAAAAAACATGAGAGGTCTGCACAGAGTGTATAGAGAGAAACTGTTCCCACTCATAAATGGATCAAGAACTAGAGGTACAGTTTCAATCTGTCTTTTCAAAGAGACATGTTAGGTGAAACAAAACTTTTTCACATGGCGAGTAGGGCCTGTACTGTGCTGTACTGTACTGTTCTATGTTCTATGCGGTGGAGGTTAGATAGACCTTAGGTTTCGGGTAAAAGTTCGGCACAACATCATGGGCCAAAGGGCCTGTACTGTGCTGTACTGTTCTATGTTCTATTCGGGGTATGGAATTCACAAGTGGAAGTTTGGTGGAAATAGTTTCAATTGAGGCATTCAAGAGGTCACAGGATGATTGTTTCTACTTAAATAATCTGTAGGATTAGTAGTAAAGGCAGGAGATTGACAATAAGTTAGAATCTCAGAGAGCCAGAACAGACATAATGAGCCAAATGGCCTCCTTGTGCACTGTAACAATTCTGTTATCCTGTGATGTGATTTATGCAGTGAAAGAGAAGGGAAATGGAATAAAATAAAATACATTAAGAAGTAAAATTTACCACCCATGTAAAGTGCAGCTGCTTTTAATTAAGGCAGCTTATTGACTGCTTTCCAAGTGTGGTGTTTCCTCAATCATTTGTGAACATCATTTTCCTCAAACTTAAATACTCAAAGGAACATGCAACCCTTTGATACACTGACAGTGTATCCTGTTACCAGTCCACTCTGAGGCTGCATTAGTATTGAATAATGAAAGGCTTGTATGCTCACATTTCCAATTTACTTGTATGGTGTGTTAGTAAGAGGGATTTAAAAAAGAAGAGTTTGTGAGAAGGTGTTGGGCAGAGAAGTAATTTTGTTGGTTTTGAATTGAATTGAATTAGCTTTATTGTCACATAGTCAAATGAGTACAGTGAAAAGTTTACAGTCACCTCATTACAGCACCTACCTAGGTACAAATACTTAAGATCAAATTCTTAGGAAACAAAAAAAAATTAGAAAAGTAAATAAGTAAATAGTCCAGCATTATAGGTCATAGGAATAAATCAGAAAAATAAGTAAGTGAAAAGTTCAGGATGTCAATCTTTACGATCCTGTTCACGCCGGTACATTGCCTCAAGGGTGACCACCTCCACCTCGCCGCTGCCTGCACCAGACCTACCAATGTAGGTGTTGCTATCTCTTCACCACCAGACCCACTTTGCTGATGCCACTGAACCCACACTCGCCCCGCGTTCAAGAGTGTCTGGCTCTGCTCAGGCCAGGCAGCTGCTGGGCCACAAGTCCTGCTACGGCTGCAGATGTCACCTTGCCAGCGCTGCCATCTTGAAGAGTCCATTGCCGTTGGCACCGCCGCTCCCGATCACTGGAGGAGCTTTGCTGCCACTGCCACCAGCCCTGACATTGGGAGAATGACCTCGCTGCTGCTGTTACTGGCCTCGACCGGCAGGGGAACAACCTCGCTGCCACTGGCCTCCTATCGCCAGGACAACATCCTTGCTGCGCCCGCCTCAAGTCACCGGGAGAATGTCCTCGCTGCCGCAGTCACCGCCTCTGATCACCGGGAGAAGCCACATCTGGCACTCCGCGTGTGACCCACTCTCTCTGCAGCACCAGTGCTGCTGACCAACCTACTGCAGAAAAGTAGAAAAAAAAGACAAGGATGAAAAAGTGAAAGAAAAGAGTGGAAGCGAAAGTAAGACAAAGAAGGAAAGCAAATAGGAGCAGATGGACCCCACGCAATAGCCCACCCGCAATCCTATTACTCTGCCACCATCTTGCACCGGAAATCTGTTAACTATCAGAGTGGAAATTGTTGATAGGAGTATTATCTTTAAGATTATTTCTTTAGGTGGGTGTCTGACAGGCACAGTATCCATCACAACATATACTGGACTCTGAATCAAGCCATAAAGCAATTCTCATAATTGGTTTGTATTTTTCCTATACTGAGTGCCTCCCATACCATTCCATGCCTCGAGGGCTCAAATGCAAATTGGCATGACAGTAGACTTGGGAATCTTAAGGGTGCAGAGAGGATTTACTGGAATTCTAACCAGGTAAAACTGCACAGTACTGACTGGCTTTCTCCTGCTTACTCAAGCATGACAACTCTGGCCATTATGCCATTGGGTAAACTGATCTGGAGTTGAGGCTGAAGAATCAAACCTCCTAGTAAAGGGTCCACCAACCCAAAAGGTTCTGGGTCAATAAATCTCCCAGGTGATTGAATTACCAAGAACCAGCTCAGAGTCCATCTCTTAGCCGTGACCTCATAGACCAAACACGCACCCCATTGTCTCAGTAGAGCAATGATACAAGAAGAAAGCAGCAATTTTTGATTCTCTGAAACACTTACTTTGATCACTTTGTGAAAGCTTTGATCTATTCCAAGCATTGGCATTGTTTGCAAGAAATCAAATGGTATAGGTAGAAAGAGAGTGAATCTTGTTACTGGGGAACACGTATGCTATGAAGCTCTGAAGTGTAGCTGTTGTAACTATAGAGGATGAACACTTTATGTCACCTGTATTTTATGGGAGCTCAGTCTGATACCATAAACTTTGATGTTGCCTGTAATGTAGCAGCTCAGGAGGTCACGTTCTTGCCTGAGAATCCAAAGGCTGTGGATAATACCATGGTCAGACCTGTGCTGAATGTACCTTCCCTTTTGTGAAGTTACCTGTCTTAAAAGAAATGGAATGTTTCTGTTTCCATGGTTCTTCAGTGTGAGAATTACAATGCCAGAGTGTCTTAATACAGTCCCAGCACTAACGCTGAACGAGCAATTCGTTCACCTTGTCAGGACGGATAAATATTAACTTTTCACAGTTCTGTCTGACATCACCAAGAATGGTCAAGCAAGTAATCGAGTTAAAAGAATGGGGTCACAGTATTATTAGCATGAGACACATTTATAATGAATTTCTCTAAATATAGATCAAAATGTAAAATGAATAAACATGAGTACATTATCCTTTAATCAAAGGCAGCTTTCATTTCAAACATCCTAAGCTTGTCAAAAGCAGAGGCTGCATCACATTAATCTAAAATGCTTTCAGATTCATGTACTGCCATTGTGAACTTTAAAATTGCACATCATGGAAACCAATTTAAATTGACAATTAATATTAGCTAATTTCTGCAGGATCATACAGAGCAAAATCCATATGAGCTATTCTTATTTTATTCAGTGGCAGTCCCACGCACAACCTAACCGTGTCTCTAGCAATGCTCACTCCTGGAAGAGAAGTAGAAATAGTATTTGGTCTGTCTCAATTCTAGGGGAATTCTACCCTGACTGAAAAATGAACTGAAATGAGTTCTGGGAGAAGGAGATTTGGCATGATGCACTACTAGGCATAATTAAGTTCACATTTCCTCGTATTTGTTCCAGTTTTAAAAACAAAAGAGCATCTCCATTAGTCAAAGAGTTTGGTCCAAAGATCTTTCATTTCTTATCTCACTTCATATTGGGTATTTTTAACAAAAATATTTATGCCTACCTTTCTGAACTCTTATAATATAGTTGACTTAAATGGCCTCTCTGTTAGTTATTTCACATTATTATTCTTTGTTTCCTAAATTTGTATTAATTCAATTAATCTTTTCTTTGAATTTATTTATGGAATGTAAGCCTTTCTGGCTGGGATAGCATGTATTATCCTTTCTGGTGCCCTGATGGCAGGCACTCCCCAGGTGGACCAACCCAGAAGGCAGGTGCTTTTGGGGAGGGCTGCCCCAAATGGCAGTGATACCCCAAGCAAGCATATTCCAGGACTGTTTGATGGAATCCAGTCCTCTCACCGTAAGAACATCATTTAGGAGCTGTTAAATAAGGTGTCCTAGATTCAATCAACTTTGGCTGCTTCATCAACTACCCTCGCCCTGTTACCAGGTTAAATGTGAGGATGTTTGCTGATGATTGCACAGTGTTCAGTCCCACCTGTGACTGCGCAGGTACTGAAGCAGCCCATGCCCTATATGTCTTTTGGCCAACCTTTAGTTTTGGGCTAATAAGTGAGAAATAACATTTTTACCACACAGGTGCATCTCCATGTGAAACGGTGAGACAAACCTGCTATGAAGGGTCTTCTATGGGTGCTTGCATTGCTCCCAGCCTTCCTTTAATATTACTATGACCATTACTGAAATCCTGTCTATTCCTTTAAAGCACAGTGGTTCTTTAATTCTGCGTTTGCACTGGATATCCAAACCCCATCATTAACTTGGCCAGTTCATAGTCCAACCTGTGCCCACCCTTCCGTTTTGAGTAGATTAAATGAATGAAGTTCAGAAACCCGAAAGGAGTCCAGTTTAGGGCTATAACACTGGAATATGATGACTGAAAGCTTTGTTGCTGATGGAGTAGAGGAAAAGGGGTGCATAATAGTGCAAATGGAGATAGGGCTGAAAGATTAGCTATTTTAAAGGTTTTGTAAATAAACAAGAATGCCTGTATTCAAAAGTACTAACTTACCTCCTTTTTCAGATGCTGAAGGCCTTGTTGCACATTTGAAAGAGTTTCTGTTTATTTCCAAATTCCAGAATATGCTTTCAATTTTGGTTCCCGTTTACTTTTTCAGTAGTTTTATTTTCTGGATCATTCTACATCGTTCAGACTGTTTGTCCAATCGCTGTTTTGCACAAGGATAACATGCGTTCAAAATCACATTCTGCTTGGTACAGTCACCTCAGCCAGAGTTATTAAAGACACAGTAGACATCTTAAATAAGACAATGTCCAGATTATACACAACTGCTGAGGTAGTCTCTCATTACAGAGGCGTTATTCAATGGTATGATGACAGCTGTAACATTCAAATAGACCTAATAGATTATTACATTGCCTCCTCAGCTACAAGCACCAAGTGTTAAAGGCTTTGATTTTGCCAAGCAGCATATTGGACAGCATGGTAAAGATGACCTACTTGTTATCCATGAAGGGCTTCCACCTTCCACAGCAAAAGATGGGGGCACACCATCTGAGAATGGTGATGTGCCCAATCCTCAGCCTAAGGCAGGCAAACTCTCCAAGGGCCTTCGACAGAGAAGCAGGTGAGTGGACATGATCACTCAAAACATCAAAGATGTGACAGCAGAAAGATTTTAAAATGTTTTTAATTAACTGATTTGAAGTTGTATTAGTCTGCTTCTCTCAATATTCCATTGAAATAAAAAATGACAAGCAGATTTGCCAATTATTTAACCTAACATTTAGTTAATATAATGCAAAGCAAGATCCCTTACGTGAGGACTGAGCACTGAGAAAAGATGGAAGAAACATGGAGTATTCTCAAAAGGTGGTTCAGAGGACATTAGAGCGAAAATTAAAATTGACCAGCTTGGGTGTTAAGAATCCCCAATTTTGGCTTTTTACTTATAAAATGCCTTGAGGTTGATTTCAGCCAAAATATAAGAATTTAATGACATGAAGCTGATTCTAAAAAGATGCATGCTTCTGCCTTCCTCAGACAAATGTCTATGATGAAGCTGCTTCAATTAACAGGCATTATTGTAACCTCCCAAAGCCAGCCCTTGTGACAAATGTCTGTAATTGCTGCTAACCCAGTCAGTGTGTAGGTGCCCAGACATTTCAAAATATGCAGCTCTGTGAAGAACAATACGTAGTGTTGGCAGCACAAGTACAAACTTACTTCTGCCTCTCCTCCATCGCTGGAAATGACAACAGTATAATCTTATGTTACCAGTACTTACTGCTGGGCAGGACATTCGGATTATGATTGAAATGTCAAGTTGTAGTCAATATTAAAGCCAACTGGCTGCAGGTGCCTAGTACAATAATATGTTCCACGTGCTTGCGTTGAATCTTTCTTTCTTCGAGGATCATGTTTTTCATTTGATTCTGAAAACAAGGCAACAGCACAAGAGTGTACAACGCTGGTGACAGGGTTCCTTAAAGTGCAGAAGTAGAATTGTGAGAATTATTTAACCAGCTATGGTTTAGCTAGGTTTTCAATCATAGACATACATGGTAATGCTGGATCTCACGTATAAATGCCTGTATAATACCCAACAACACCAACTTGCATGTATATAGTGCCTTTAATGTAATGAAACATCCTAAAGTGCTTAACAGGAGCATTTTAAAACAAACTGCAACACCAAAGCATAGAAGTAAATCCACAGTCCTTGTAAAAGAAGCATGCCTTAAGGAACGTCTTAAAGGTTGAAAGAGAGGCATCGGAAGTGAATTCCAAATTTATGGTCTGGGTGACTGAAGAGGTGGCCACATCTGATGGAGCAGTTATAATTGGAAATGCACAAGAGATCAGAATTACAGGAGGTCAGATATCTCTGAAGTTTGAGGGGGCTGGTGGGAGATTAGAACAATGACGGCGCTAGACCATGGAGGAATTTGAAAACATTAATGAGAATTTTAAAGTGAAGATATTGTTTCAGTGAAGCAATGCAGGCCATTGAGCACAGGGATGATAAGGGAATTTTACTTTGAATTACCTCCATGTTATGGGAGAACAGCCAGGAGAGCGTTGGCATAATCGAAGTAATGGAGCGTGAATGTGTTTTCAGCAAGAGATGAGCTGAGCTAAGCAAAGTTTGGCAATTCTACAAGGCAGTAATGGTGGTGGCAATAGTAGGAGGTTGACACCTCATCTTGAGGTCAAATGTGACACCAAGATTGCAAACAAGCTTGTTTAATCTCAGACTGTTAGGAAAGAAAATTAGAAGGTGACAGCACTCTCAATGGCTTTAGAGAAGAAAATGGAGAAGGTCAGAGATGGCCAGTAGCTTGCAGCCATGATAGCATGGAAGCCATTACACCAGTCTGTGATACACTATTTGGAAGAGCAGGCAGATTAGGAGTATAATTGCTGTGGGATCAGTACCAAAACTTTGATTTTCGACACCAGTTGGGAGCCTTTGAAACCAGTCCCACACAAAATATTCCAGTTGGATTTTGATTGCATATATAGCTGGAATATTAAAATAGAGGCACTATTATCTGATTGATGAGTGGGCTTCTACCATCCAGATTGAAAGATGTGCAGAATTACTTGTGTCCATTGTGTGTGGTATTGTTTTGTTTGAGAGAGAATCCTAATTAGGTTAGTACATTACATATGATAGGCTTTTCTTGAGCAACTTGCTGGCACTAAGCTTTAATGTATTTGTACTACTTGGACTCCTTCCATTTCCCCCTTTTTTTAAAGATACTAATTGACGACATTGTGGTATAGCTCACCCTTTGCAATGCAAGTATTTCTTTCTGTAATCAGTGGTATTGTTAGATGCTAGTGATGACTGTGTTTATGTAGAAATAATTGCTTGGCCTCTATTAAGCGCACTGTCAACACTGTAAATTAGAGTTTCTTTTAGTTTCTGAAGCCTCAGCTATAATGTTTTTGACATTTATTGTACAATGAAAAAGCCAAAGAAATGTAGATGCTGGAAATCAGAAACAATAGAAATAGCTGGAAAAACTCAGCAGGCTTAGCAGCATCTGTGGACAGAGAGCAAAGTTAATGACTTCTTCAGAAGTCAAGACCCTTCCAAAGAAGGATCACAAGACCCAAAATGTTTACTCGGTTTTCTGTCTCCACAGATGCTGCTGAATTTTCCCACCAATTCCTGTTGTTGTTTTATTGTATTCTGGTTGATGAACATACAGCACAACCTCAATTATCCATCAGCATGATGAAAGGTACTTGATTGTTGAGAAGAATTAGAAAGTAATCACATATCTTTTTATGCATATCTGACATGAATAAGTTGCTTTGATTAACTTGTTAAGACTATTTGACCACCTTTCCTAGATTTTGTACATAAACAAAAATTCAAAACTTCCAACGAGTAAGTTTATGTAAAACTGGTGTAGATTGGGGTATGGATAATTGAGGTTCTACTGGACATACAGATCAAATATTGTTACACAGCCTGCAAGACCATTGTCTGTTTGTGTAGAATTTCACCTTCAGAAGGCGAGTCTACAGCCAGTGAACAGTCCAGTGGGAGAGAGTCCATTGAAGATATTCCCAAACCCCCTGCAACTCCTGCTAGTGGCAACAGACACACAGTGATCGGAAATGGTTTGTATCCTCTCACTAATTAGTAAGTGCAATGTAAATTTGTACATCATATTTTGGAAAAAAAAGTTGATCATCAAGGGACAATTTTTTTTTTCCAGTGCTATTACTGCTTGTCTTGGTTTTAAATTCTGAAATTAACAGTGGCTGCCTTATCTGCACAACATAAGCTTTGTACCTACCTACAAAGTAGAGCTGTTTTACTATGCACGCTTAAGAAAGCCTGTTCTCTGTTAGAATGAGTTTGAGACAGCCAATCTAAAGTTGCTGTATTATCCGCCGATCTACGTGTTCACAAGGTCAGCCACAGATTGTATTTCCTTTATTCCCATTCACTCAGCTGGTCTGATTCCGTGGTCCTTCATGGTTGAGAAGAAAGTTACATTGGAGCACTTTTTGTTGTCAGCAGGAAGTTTGTGTCCCATATTTTCACAAGTTTTATAAAATTTATTATGGTATTATAACAGGTGGGAAAGAAATAATACTTAAGAGCAGTGATATTATAGTTGATCCACTTCAGGATGCCATTTAGGGTCACTGGCTGACTGGATATAGGTCTCTTGTTCTGCTGACTGAAGTTCTTATGTTTTTTTCCTGACCTATTTTCAAATCAGCCTGTTCAGAGATATAATTACCTGCTTCTGGAAAAGATGGAACTTGAAACGGGGTCTCTTTGCTCAAAGGTAGGGATATAACCACTGCACCACAAGAGCCCTTTCAGCACCCCAGATTGGACGTGAACCCACAATACCTGACTGAAGTCCTTTTATCCTCATTCTTCTTTCTTGTTCGTTGAATCACTGAAAAGGCCAAGCATTATGGACTGTAGCACATGTAACAATAATCAGAAGCATCCTAAACTCTGATTGACTTATTAGTGGATAAATAGTTCATCGTCAGTCTTGGGTCGACTAAACAATTTCTAATTAATTTCTTTAAAAATAATGGTGATCTTAGTGATACCACTTCCTACTGCCTCCTGATTCATTCTTTACATGTTAAATCATTTTCGTTAGATCATTTATTATGACAACTTGTCCAACTCCTTAGATCTTTACCAAGATAAGATGGCACCAATCTGTGTCTGATTAGAGTATCTATTGTCACCTCCCAGTGAGTAACAATGATGATGCATCTAAGATGATCCAAAAATCTATAAAACTCTCTACAGAACCTAATTATACACACACACACACACACCCTTGCCCTCTCCTCCATAAGCCTGTTACAGAGTTACAGAACAAAATCATTTATAAACACAACTATGTCTTTGAGTAAAAACTTTTATACATTGTAGTGTTCTCATGTGTTAGCCTAAGTTTATGTTACCTTGAGCCATAAAAGAATAATAAAATCATTAGCCTTATTTTTGATCTTAGAATATGACTGACTTACTTACAAGAAAGTGTTTAACAATGAACCATAATTAAACAAATTGTATTTACTTAATAATGTCAAAATTATTAATTTTTGGAAAAAAAAACTCAATTCTGCAACTAAGCATGGCCAAACATTACCATACCAACATAATTGTAGTCAAAACTTTACCCAAAAAGTGTAAGAATATCCAATTGATACGTGCCCATGGAACAGTATCATACAGACAATGAGTGCCACAAGATTATTGTATAAACAGTATCTATATTCCAATGAAATTCTTCTCTAAGCAGTGCATACCTAATATTATATTTACTACCCTCAATACCTTCTTGTCCTATATTTTTCCAGGGCTCATATTGTCTGGTATGGGTAAGGATAGCCACTTTCTCATCTATATAGGAGAGTTTCTTGTAGTGATCATGATGTAAATATTTGCAGATTTGCAATAAGCTATATGTTACAACAACATGGAATGCATTCATATTAGGAGGATCTTGACTTGGGTCTGACTCCTTCAAGATTCAGTTCTCATGACATCATCACAGTGGCTAGTGCTAATGGTACTCGATCAGTGTACAACATCTAACATTGCAGAATCATAGAATCCCTACTGTGCAGAAAGAGGCCTTTCAGACTGAGTCTGCACTGACCCTCTGAACAGCATCCCACCCAAATCTATCCCCCTATCCTATCCTATCCCCATAACCCTGCATTTTAACATGGCTAATCCACGTAACCTGCACATCCCTGGACTATGTGGACAATTTAACATGGTCAGTCCACCTAACCTGCACATCTTTGGACTGGGAGGAAACTGGAAGATCCGGCAGAAACCTACACAAACAGAGAAGTGTAAATTCCACACAGACTGACACTGTACGCAGCAGTACTACCTTAGAGTCCTTTAAGCAGTGTCTTTTAAGTTGTAATAGTTCACAAACGGTGTTGCATAATCAATAAGCATTAACTGTTATAGCTAAAAATGATAAGAAAACATTGGCTGTGCTCAGCAGATCTGCGTTTCGATGAAACATCGTAGACCTGAAAGCGTAACTGTTTCTTTCTCTGTAGATGTTGCCAGACCTGCTGAATATTTTAACATTTTCTGTTTTGGTTTTCAATTTTTACCATCTACGGTTTTTTGTTATTAAGTAACATTGCACTTACCCTTACAATGTAACAGAAGTTCATAGTGTATTCCATGCAGTGTATTTCTTTTTTAACTCACTCATGGGACGTGGGCACTGATGGCTGGGCCAGCATTTATTACCCATCTCTAGTTGCCCTTGAAAAAGTGGTGGTGAGCAGCTTTCTTGAGCTGCCACACTCAATCGTATTAAGGAAGGCATTTCAGAATTTTTACCTAGTATAGACTGTCAAGAAACTGAGTGCCTTGGAATGGAAATTGCAAGTGGTGGCGTTCCCTTGTACCTGCTGCCCTTGTCCTTCCAGATGGTAGAGGTTGTGGGTTTGAAAGGCACTGTCTAAAATGCCTCAGTGGATTTCTGCGATATTTGGCTGCTACTGAGCGTTGGTGGTGCAGGAAGTGAATGCTTGTGAAACTGGTGCCACATAAGCAGGCTACTTTGTCCTGGGTGGTGGACAATTAATGGGGAGCCAGGAGCAGTGGCCCATCTAAGTTGCATGCTATGCAGCTGCTCCAAGTGTCCATAAATGGTGATCAGCGTACCATTGCTATTACCAGCATTGACTTGCGATTTTGGAGGTTGTTGCCACAGGTGGACGTTGGAGGTCTGTGCAGAAGCAACAAGATAAGGATGTATTTCAGGAGGTGATGTACTCACTGTAGGAGTCGATAGCATAGTGGTAATGACTCTGAGCTAGTAATCCAGAGGCTCATGGCTAATTCTTTGGGAACAGTGGTTGAAATCCCACCACAGCAGCTGGTGGAATTTAAATTCAGTTTATAAAATCTGGAATTAAAAAATGCTAGTCTCACAATGACAACACTGACAAGTTATCATGGTTTGTAGTAAACCAATGTTGATCATTAATGTCCTTTATGGAAAGAAATCTGCCATTCTTGCTCCACCTGGCCTCCAGGTGACTTTAGATTAAACATGTCCCAATTTTAGTAAGTATCCCAAGATATTGTACTTATAAACATACAAAATTGAGCAGCAATATCTTTTTAGCCCCTCAAGCCTGCTCCATCATTTAATAAAGTTATAACTGATCTGTTTGTGTTTTGAATTGTTCATTCCCATCTATTCCTGATTAGTTTTTATTCTATTGTCTGACAAGAAATTATGAATCCATCTACCTCTGCATTAAAAGTATTCAATGACCCTACTTCTACCACCTTCCAAAGTAGAAAGTTCCAAAGTCACACGACCTCTTTCAGAAAATAGTGTCTCCTCATTCCTGTCCTAATATGGCAATCCCTTAATTATATCCTTACCACCAAAACATTATCTGAACAGTCAGTGTATCTCCAAAGTCACATTGATGTTTGGCCTATTCTTACAAATTTACAATCCAGCAACCTCCGAAAATCAACACTGAGGAAATTAGTACCTTCCAGACCTACTTCAAAATCAAGACAATAGCCATCTCCCCTGTAAACCAATAGTAATCAAGTTCATTTCAAGGCTTTTGAATGTGTGAGTGTTCAACTGCCAACAGTTACCTGAGCTGATATGTCAAAGAAAATCTGCTTGTCTTCAAAATTTGCTGACTGTTTATAAAGTGTACTGGCACCCTCTGTTGGTTTGACATTGTATTGAAGTTGGCAGATTCAAATAAAAGCAATGGCTTCAGGCCTGTAATATTCTCAGAGTAAACATAACTGCACAAAGAATTCAAGACAGGATATAGTTTAACTTAATTGACTACTTAGGCATACACTGTTAATCCCTGTGAATCAAGGATGAAGTTTTAAATAATTTGTGATTAATTTGTATACATATTGTTCACACTCAAAATACTTTGCCTCCAAGAAAAAGGCAGCTCCACAAGCAGACCTTTATTTTCTGTGAATTGAATCTTTCCCTTTCATTCATGACCTGAATAGGATAATGCCGCTTAGCCCTACATCTTAAAATTGGAGACTACATTTTTCTGTCCGGCATGAAAGATATTAGACTAAACAAACCTGAACCAACAATCAAATTTATTTACTTGCAATCTGATTACAAATTCAGTATGCAAGATTTGAGATGATGACTATAATACAATTAACCATCATTATGGATGAGATCAGTCTGAATCTTTTTAATTTCAAATTTATCTAGCTCACAGCATGTACAGGCAAGTTGCTAATGCTTAGAATGAGACCTTGTTAAAACATTCTGGCAGCCTGGTTGCTGATGGCTGGATCAGAAATCCTGACTTCTTCTGGTCTCCTGACATGAAGCCCTGACTCCCGCTGGTCCACTTCTTTGAATTGAGGTATAGTATTGTAATCATGAGCCAAGCACACCAGTGGGATCCTAAACCAATTCTTATGGTGTTTAAGGTCACTTGGTTTTAAATTTTTTTAATCTCATGGTTCTTTGTGGGATACTGCAGCCGGTGGTCCATCACTGCATAATGATTTTAACAGATAAAATGTTCAGGCAGGCCCATAAGTTAACTTCATTTAGCAATGACAATGCTAGTCAAATAATCGAGGCGATAGGCTTTGGTAGCATTGCAGGATTTCCAAAGGTACAAGAGATGGTAGGTTGCCTGACAGTTAAGGTGCCATCAGGACAGCAAGGGGCATTCATTGACCAAAAAGTCTTCCATTATATGAGAATTCATCTATTGTATGTTACTGCATGTAAAGGATTGTTCATGTGTCCATATGCTGTCCTGGCAGTGGTCATGATCCCTGTGAACTGAGACACTACCAGATGCCAGGATGTATCAGAATGCTTCAGTGGTTGGCTTCTGGAAGAGAAAGGAAACCCCTAAAGAGACAGTTAACAACCCCATTCCCGTATCACAGACCATTGTCGGGGCGGACCACAAGTGCCATGCTTCCCGCAAGGTCACCATTTAAATATGAGGGTTTGATATTTGGAGTGGTCAGGTGGTGCTCTTCAATGCTATCCTGTTCTAGTGTCAGTTATGGACATGGTATGTTGTTACTCCAGGGAGGGGAAGCCCCTGGCAGATAAGGATCACATTGAGCAAGCCTCATTCTCTGATGAAGAGAGTCTGATGATAAGGAGGATGGGCCATGATAACGAACTGCACAAGATGCTGTGAATGCCGTGGAGACATGAGATTTACTAATCATATTAAAATTTAAGTAGCAATCTGTAATTTGAACCATTGTGACCATCTTGGTGACTCTCACCTTTTCACCTAATTGCAGTTAACCAGTTATCACTACCAAGGCTACCAAGACCACCATTTACACCTTAGCTTTATTTTCCTGCCCACTCCCAATAACGTTTTACCCTTGACCAAAAATCTGTCTAACTCAGCTTTGAACATATTCAATGACTCAGCCTCCATTGTTCTCTGAAGAAGAGAATTCCCAAGACTATAACTTTGAGAAAAGAAATCTACCACATCTCAGTCTTAAATGGGATACCTCTATTTTGGAGACTGCTTTGTGGAACACCTACACTCGGTTCGTGACAAACGACTGCACCTCCCAGCCGCAAACCACTTCAACTCCCCCTCCCACTCCTTGACGACATGTCCATCCTAGGCGTCCTCCAGTGCCACAACGATGCCACCCGAAGGCTGCAGGAACAGTGCCTCATATTTCGCTTGGGAACCCTGCAGCCCAAGGTCTCAATGCGGACTTCACAAGTTTCAAAACCTCCCCAACCCCAAGACCAGCCCAGCTCGTCCCCGCCTCGTTGACCTGTCCGTCTTTTCTCCCACCTATCCGCCCCTCCCTCCCAACTGACCAACCCCCATCCCAACTCCCTACCCACACTCACCTTTACTGGCTCCATCCCCGCCTCCCTGACCTGTCCGTCTTCTCTCCACCTATCTGCTCCTCTATCCACCTCCCAGCATCGCCTCTCCATCTCTCTATTTATTTCAGAGTCCCCTTCCCCCCCCCCCCCGTTTCTGAAGAAGGGTCTACACCCGAAATGTCAGCTTTCCTGCTCCTCTGATGCTGCCTGGCCTGCTGTGTTCATCCAGCTCCAAGCCTTGTTATCACAGACTCCAGCATCGGCAGTTCCTACTATCTCTACCTCTATTTTTAAATTGTGTTTCCTGTTCTAGACTCCACCACCACCGTCATACCCCTCCCAGGAGCCCCCAACAATAGAGACACCGTCCTCTCAACACCTAACATCAAGGCTGTTCAGAATCTGCCTATTCTATCCTTCTTCAAAAGACAATTCCTTCATCCTAATGAACCTTCACTGAACTGATAAATCCTTTCTTAGGTAAGGAGACCAAAGCTGTACATCATAATCTAGGTGTGAACTCACCAATACATTCATTATCCCTACAGCTACTTGTTTTAAGATTCTAGCATGTAGGCTATCAGGTCCACGAGACATGTCAGCCTTTGATTCCATTAGTTTTCCCAATACTTTTGTCTCTAATGATCATATTATTTTAAATTTCTGCATTTTGCCTTTTGATTTTCTGCTATTACTGGAATGCTGTTTATGCCTTCCAATACGAAATCTGCTATAAAATACTTGCCCTAATTCTTTGTCTTTTCCTTTTTATCCATTAATAATTCTCCATGCCTATTCCAAAAGGGGCCAATTCTTACTTAACATACCCATTTTATGTACTGTTGATTCTTCTACTGTCTGGTTTTCTGTTTCTTGCTAGTATTTTCTCATGCTTCAATTGCTCCCTCTTTATTTTTGGCCTTTTATTTCAATTGGATAGGATCCTTAGCATGCTTAGTTGGCCAGAGATGATGCATGCTTTTCATAGAATTAATCCTTCTCAATGATATATATCTTTTTCAAGAGTTGTAAAATATCTGTCACTACCTTTTAATCAATATTCCAACTCCACATAGTAAGCTCAGTCTTCATATCTTTGTAATTGAGTTTATTTAAATTTAAGACACCAATTTCAAATCCAAGTTTCTCACCCTAAAACTGAATATGAAACTCTATCATGTTATGATTGTCCTTGCCAAGAACTTCCTTTACTATGACAGCATGCATTAATCCTGTCTTATCACACATTATCAGGTTTAAAATAGATTGGCCTCTGGTTCGTTCTAGACTGTATTGTCTGAGTAAACTGTCCAGATCGCGCTCTATTAACTCATCCTTCAAACTACCTTTGCCAATTTGATTAAGCCCATCTAGGAGGAGACCGTTATTGCAGTACATTTTGTATAAACCTCTATTTTTTTCTTCATTTATATTTGGTCCTACAATGTAGCTACTATTCAGGAACCTGTAAATTACTCCCACCATTGACTTTTTTGCCTTGCTATTTCTTACCTGCACCAGTATTGATTCTATATATCGATCTTCTACACCAAGATAATTTCTCATACAAAATTGATGTTATCATTCACGTAACAAAGCTACGCCACCTCCTATCCTTTCTACAGTAGTCACTGACTACTGCACCATGTGTCATGTCAACTGAATTTGTGCTGATTTGTAGTAGGGAAATAGATTTCAGGCAGGAGATAGCCAGGATTATACTGAATACTGGAGCAGACGTCAGTAGCTCTATGTTCTACTCCTTCTCCTATAATTTATGTTATTATGTTTTATTATTACAAGTTCCTATTGCCATTCGTCACAGTATATTTTAATGTAAATCAGGGCACTCTGTAGAATGACCACTGATGATCTATTCTAGGACCTGCTGAGATCAGCAGGACTGATGAGCAATCTTCATCCGCTTCCATTTTCGACCACGTTGACCGGATGTCACGTCCACCTGAGGCAGGCAAGCGGCTACCAAGCAAGATTCAGCTGATCGCTATGCAGCCAATTCCTGCACCTCCTTTACAGAATCCATTACTTCCTGAGCGAGTTACTGAAACAAATATAATAAATAAAGAGGTGAGAATTTCTGTAGTTTCCCTCGTGAGATGGTATGAGGTTTAACAGTATGTTGTACACTTGGACTTCCTGCAATAGCAAAAAAAGCTTTATAGATCATCATAGTATATTTATTGACAATTTATTGAAGGCATTTCATCTAATTCATTTTTTGAAGTCCAATGACTGTTGACAAACAGGCAAACCTAGTTTTCACTTCACAAAAGAGTCCTTGAAGTTTGGTTTAAAGTAAGCAGACCTGGTTTTGAAGTCCCGTTAAGTCATAAGAAGGAATGTAAAAAGAAATCACTGAACAAGCAGAAGAAAAGAGTGAGACTAAGTAGCATTAATCTGTCTACTGAGTATTTTGAGCATAGGAATGACCTGCAGGAATACCTTCTATGTCTTTTGCTGGAAGTGGAAGCTTTGGTGACCCCTAAAGATCTTAATATAGTCTCATCTTTTCTAGATCACATTAACGATGTCACATCAAATTACATTAAATCCCTACAAAGATGCGTATTTGCGGAGTTTACACAAACATGAGAGTTTAACATTGTTGATGTCTTATCAATGAAAAAGCATTTGGAAGACCTTTGATGGGACTAGCCCAGATTGTGTTAGGGGACTCAGGTGCATCGATCTTTAAAATGCATGCACATATGCAAAAAGTAATCTAGAAAACTAACGGAATGGTGGCATTTATATCCAGATGACTGGTGTTTAATGATGCGGAAGTTACGCTGCAATTATAGTAAACGCTTGTTAGACACCACTTGGAGTACTGTAAGCAGTTCTGGGCACCATACCTTCGGAAGGATATATTGGCCTTGGAAAGAGTATAATGTAGGTTTACTCAAATGATACCTGGACTTCAGGGGTTAAGTTATGAGAAGAGATTATATAAATTAGACGTTTTTTCTCTAGAATTAGAAGGTTAAAGGGTGATCTGATTAAAGTCTTCACAAAGGATACGCTAGATAAAGATAAACTATATTCAATGGTTGGCGATTCTAAAACTAAGGAGCACAGTTTAAAAATTAGGGCCAGACCATTCAAAACAGATATTAAGAAGTATTTCTACACGCATAGAGTAGCAGAGGTTTGGAACCCTCTTCTACAAACAGCAATTGATGCTAAATCAGTTGTTAATTTTGAATCTGAGGTAGATAAATTTTAGTGAAGCAAAGGCGCTAGCTAAGTGGTATGGCAGGTATATGGATTTAGGCCCAGATCAGTCATGGTCTTATTGAATGGTGGAGTGGTTTGAGTGGTTGAATGGCCTACTCCTGTTCCTATGTTCCTATCTCATCCTTTGGCATAGTACACAGGATAAAGGAATAGACAGTTTGTTGACATGATTTAAAACACCAGACACCTTTAACACCAATCCACGAAGATGTCAGAAAATTATATTTAGCTCTAAGTAATGAAACGTCATTGTTCTCGTCTTCAGGTTCAGCGTGCTTTGAGACAGAAATCTGAAATTGAGCACCACCGCAACAAGATCCGACTGCGAGCCAAAAGGAAAGGACATTATGATTTCCCCATCATGGACGAAGTTGATACCATTGATACCAAGGAAAGGCGCAGAGCCTACCGCAGAGCCCAGATTCACATTGATAGGATCCTTGATCCCAGTATTGATGGCCCATCTGTCCTTCTGGAACCAAGGAAAAGGTAGGCATAAAATGAAAACAGAAAAGTGCTGGAAATACTCAGCAAGTCTGGAGCTATTCATGGAAAGATAACTAGGATTCATGTTTCAGGTTAATCATGTTAATGTCATCTGAAATGTTAACTTAGTTTCTTCCTTTACAAAGGCTTTCAAATTGCTGAGTAGCTCCAGCATTTTCTGTTTCTATTTTAGATTTTGCAACGTCCAGTGTTTTTGATTTTATACCTGGGCATAAAATATCTCTGGAAGCAGCACATGGTCATTTTCTTGATGTGAAATTGTCTATGAATTAAAATGTAGAAAAGCAAAGTCTAAAAAAGCATCTATTTAAGCATGTAATGTTTTGAAATCAAGAGATAAATTTGTCAGTTATAGCAGTGGGAACAAACTGTTCATCAGTATCGTTGCGCTGACAGTTTGATGGCACAAATTAAGTTTCCTGACTAGAGAAGTTTGAAACATCCAGAATACTTAAATTCACAGCATGACACTTGCAAATATATGTGAATTATCATGATATTTAAGACATTTCATAATAAATGATTGAATCCTTTTCCTAGTTTTTTGGTATTGACTGTTTAGATTAGGTGCACAAGTTGTTGAAATAATTAAATGCAAAGATTGTGTGAGTCGCTACCTGCAAACCTATACAAAAACTTTGCCCGATGTGTCCTCTTGCTCTCAGCCACTGACTGCATTCACATGTCCCAACCCCAAATATCTTAATAAAAACTGAAAAAGCTGCAGAAGCTGTAAATCAGGAACAAAAGCAGAAATTGCTGGAAAAGCTCAGCAGGTCTGGCAGCATCTAGAAGAAAAAATCAGAGTTAATGTTTTGGGTCCGGTGACCCTCCCTTAGTTCTGATTTTTCTGACGTTAACTCTGATTTTTTCCTCTAGACGCTGCCAGACCTGCTGAGCTTTTCCAGCAACTTCTGTTTTTGTCCCAAATATCTTAACATCTGAATCCATGCACAGTTACAATAAATCTTCAAGGATTACTCATACATTTTCCCATAACTTGTAGCGCAAATGTCAGTACACATTGCCCTCATGGACTTCTTATACCCATTATGAATTTATGACAGTTTTTTCTTGGGTTTAATTCTCACTTGTTGAAATAATGATTTGATCCCAAAGTACATGAATGTATTAAATAATTGCCAATTGTTCTGCTTCACTCCAGTTATCGTGCCAAAAGATCTCCACGACAGAGACGGAGACACCAGGTCAATGGCAGTTTGATGGATGCAGAGAAAGATAGGTTGATAACCACAGACAGTGATGGGACCTACAAGAAACCACCTGGAGTGAACAATGCAGCTTATGTTGTAAGTGTGGAAGAACAATAATTACATACATCTTTCACTTTAGTGCCTTAAAAGTACCTCCTTTTCCCTGTCTCCCCTGCTAAAGTGCAGATCATCTTCAGGTAGAGGGCACACAAACTATTAGCTCCAAGATTGTTAGGCAGTCCTTCTACTTATCTACATTTCATCCTTCAGAGACTTCCTCAGAACCCATCTCTGGCTGTTCTTTCACCATGTCCCTTATTCACTTGCTTCCTATTCATGGTCCTTTCTTGTTTGTGAAGCATCTTGATTTATTTTATATGGTATGTTAGAGCTAGTTTAACCATACTCTGTTTAATAGAAAGCATGAAAGAATGACTTGCATCAAGTGTTGTTATTCTCCCTGACTTCACTACTCTCTTATAATCCATCTAAGATTCAGAATTCATTTGATTGATAATGTCACGAATAAGTCCAATGGATCAATAATGCTGTAAGATTGGAGATGGAGTTTCAATTTGTCTGTCACATCATACTTCTCTACAGATAGTTTGACTGAAATTTCTGAAATATTTGTGTACACAGTTCAAATTTAAACCTTGGTCAAACATTTTCATTTGTTGCTGCTTTACCTTTCATTCTTTGACACTGTCAAAGCAATCCTCTGATGTAGATAGCATTCATGCGTGTTGCTACTTGTCTTATCTAGTTATTGATGCCATTTTGTGCCTGCGTATAAGGTGCAAGATGGCCACCTGTGCCTTGAAGTAGATAATTTGGGCAGCTTGTAGTGTATGGAATTGACTGTCTAAGTTCAGCCAACCACCCAAACTTTTGGAATTGACTGCTGAATTCAGCCAGACCAGTTAGCAAGTGCTTCTATAAGAAAGGAAACCATTCCATTTCAGAGGAACAGAAGCCTAAATGTAGCTGTGTAAATTGTGCACAGTTTTCATCAGCCAGATATCCTGGCTGAGTGCATCCATCTGAAGACCAAAAAGTGTATATATTGATTTTGTTTTGCACTTCATGTTGACCTGGTTGGAATCTGAAACTTGATATGTGAGAGATTGGCAATGTGAGGCACCCTACCACTATGTGGCACAGCTCCAATTCACTGGTCATTAAATAGCTTGCAAATTTCCTAATTAGTGAATTTTGCAAAGCATGCTGTTTATGAATTTCATTACACTCTCTCCTCTACCTGCCTCATTGTGTTTGCAAACCATACAAATTGGATATAGGACGATGAAGACATTCCATTTGAACAGAAGATCTAACACTGGGGGAGACTGAGATATTTCCGGTTAACCCACGACAGAACAATTGGATGCTATTTGCCTTCACTACATTGTCTGTCCTTTCATTGCCCCAGCTCCACTGACCTAATCTTGATTTGGTTCTGTGTTTTGCAGTCGGACCCTGACCTGCCTCCGGAGCCTAAACCTCATTCTCCATCACACACACATCCTCCCCCTCCTGCTCCCCCACCATACATTCCACCACAACCATCTATTGAAGAGGCAAGACAGCAGATGTACTCTCTGCTCGATGATGCATTTGCTTTGGCAGCTCCAGGTAGTCCTGGAAAAGTCCTGTCAGCAGTCTGCCTTGGGCAGCCAGCCACCAGCACTCCTATCAGGGGAACCAGAGTATCAGCTAACAACCACTGGACTCCAGTGTATGAACAACCCCAGAGTCTCAGCTATTCATATGCCACGGTATGTAACATGTAAAGCATTTCACACAGTATGCTCATACATATGTAAACATTTCCATTACGGCAGATAATACAGAAATCGCATGAGTTTCAAATGTTTTTTCTTGCCTCATTTTCCAGAATTATATCTTGGACAAAGTAATTTTCATCCCAAATCTAAGCATATCTAGCTTAATAAAATATAGCTGGTCATGTTTAAGTTGGAGTGATTTGTGTAAGATTCCAGTTAGGTAGATTTTATGTTGGAGAAGCCTGTTTCTACCAGAAACTGGATTGAGGTTGTCCATACTCGATTCACGTGGAGATTTGAATTTTATTAGTCTGATGGAGTTAATCTCAGATCCCAGAACTGAAGGACCAATATCTCATATCTAATTGCATCACTCGGCCCCCAAAACACAGTATCTGAGGAAGGGTCACCGGACCCAAAAAGCTAATTGTGATTCCTCTTCACAGATCCTGCCAGACATACTCAGCTTTTCCAGCAATTTCTGTGTTTGTTTCTGATTTACAGCATCCGCAGTTCTTTTGGTTTTTAAAACTGGTTATTGACCCCCTCTACTAAGGGAAACATTTCTCCCTATCTACCCTGTCTATGCCTTCTCAAAACTTTGTACACCTCAATCAGATACCCCTTTAACCTTCTTGCTCTGAAGAAGACAACCCCAGCCTATTTAGTCTGTACAGCTAAATCACTCTAGCCCAGGTTACATCCTTGTGAATATCCTCTGCACCCTCTCTAATGCAGTGACAACTTGTTAGTCCTCTCAAAATACATCACCTCAGGATTAAATTCCATTTGCCACTTGTTCAGCCTATAACTAGCCAGACAGCAACATCCTGTAGTCTAAGTCTACCTTTCGCACGATTGCCACACATCCAGTTTTCACGTAATCTATGAATTTGGCAATCCTACCTCCTGTATTCATGTCAAGATCATTGATGTACACAACAAACAGCAAGTGACCCAGCACCAAAACCTGTGATACGCCTGCACGCACAGGCTTCCAGTCATAAAAACACCCTTTTGACCATCACCTTCTGCTTCCTGTCACTAAACTTGTTTTGGATTTAATTTGCCAAAATGCCCTGGATCCTGCGGTCTCTTAGTTTCTTAACCAGTCTGTCATGCGAGACCTTGTCAAAAAACTTATTGAAATCCACTCTTTCCCTGGTTATTGCCTGAATATACTTATAAAGCATCTTTAGATTTTCTATAATGTTACCTGCCAATGTTTTTACAGGTCTCCTCTTTGCTGTCCTAATTTATTTTTTGAGCAGACCCCTGCACTTTCTATATTCCTCTACAGTCTGCTGTTTTGAATCCTGAGTATCTGCCATAAGCTTCTATTACCCTTTGGGAAGCATTCAAATGTTCTAATGTGAATTTTGCTGCAATTAGCTGCTTCTAGTCCACTTTCAGTAGAGCCTGTCTTGTCTTTTATTAAAATCGACCATCCCACAATTTCCAGTCCATTTTTCTCCTTATCCATTATAATATGAAGTCTTATTGAATTATTAGCATCAAGACCATGATCATCCAGAACCAACTCCACTGAGTTGGCCACATGCTTCCGTTGTCTCAGTTCTGACTACCAAAGCAAATCTTCTTTGCTCAAGAAGGCATTCAATTAAGAAGAGGGCAAAGGAAGCATTTCAGAGATTCTCTAAAGGCTTCCCTCAAGAAATGCAAAATGGTGTCACTGTGTGGGAGACCCTCATTTGGAAGAAACTGACTTGGAGGAAACTCCTGTATGAAGGGACAGAATTCTTTGAGAACATCCAGAGAAATGAGGAAGTACGGAAAAGGAACAGGAGAAAGGAATATCAACAAACTGAAGGCCAAGGACCATTTCACCTTAAATGTGTGATCAGGGTGGGCTCCAGGATTAGCTCATTAGCCCACAAGAGCCCACTGAATCCATGAACAGGGACACAGAATTTCCTAGGTGGACAATCATGCTTATTCTTTAACTAAGTGGCTTGCTAGACCACTTAAAGAGTCAACCACATTTCTTTGGGTCTGGAGTCATATGTAGATCAGAGCAGGTAAAGGGACTGATTTTGTTCCCTAAAGGACATTAACGAACCAGATGGGTTTGTACGACGATTGATAATTTAGTGGCAGCATTACTAAGACAAATTTTGTATTCCAAGTTAATTAATTAAGCTAGTTAATTGAATACACCCAGCTGGCATTGTGGAATTTGAGCTTGTATTTCTGGACCTTTAGTCTGAACATTTTTGTGTTATCACTATGCTGTTGTTCCACTAAGGCATTCCATAAGATCTTCAGAAGTGGGAGGCACAGTAACTACCCAGCCCCACAAACCTGCTCCATCATTCAGATAATCATGACTGATCTTCTACCTCGTCAGTTTCCTGCTTGCTCCCTATATCTTTAGATTCCCTTGGAAATCTAAAATCTTTTGACCAGACTTGACTATTCTCAGCTATCGAAGCATCCATGACCATTTGAAATCAAGAATTCCAAAGAATGATGAAATTTCTCATAATTGAATTTTTAAATGATTGACTCTATATTCAGAGTCTGTGTCCCTCCTGTTGTCAATTCTGCAGAGAAGGGAAACAATCTATGTTTATCCAGTCAAGCCCCTTCAGATTATTGTTCTTCTAAACTTCAGAGAGTGTAGGCCCAATTTACACATCATAGGAAAATCCTGTTGCCCCAAGGATCAGTCTAGTGAACCTTTGCTATAGTTTCTCCAATACAACTTTTTTAAGTATGAAAACCGTCAGCATTCAAAGTGTGGTCTCACTAAAGCCCTGTGCAATGTATTCTTATACTTGTGCTATTATCCCCTTGCAATAAAGACCAACACTCTGTTTCCTATCACTCGGCTGATTTTGTATCATTACAAAATAATAAATAATAACAGCTACTGCTGTCCCTTTTATGCGATGCCCCTGCTAATGTCCTTTCTATAACTTTCCCCACAGGTTTGTTGTGCGGCGCAATGTCAAACACCTGGAAGTCCATGTGTATCATATCATCAACCTTTTCTGTTATCTCTTAATAAAAACTCCAGCAATTTAGTTCATGTTGTGAAACTTGAAAGGAATCAGAAAAGATTTACAAGGATGTTGCCAGGGTTGGAGGGCTTGAGCTATAGGGAGAGGCTAATAGGCTGGGGCTATTTTCCCTGGAGCGTCAGAGGCTGACAGGTGACCTTATAGAAGTTTATAAAATCATGAGGGGCATGAATAGTGTGAATAGCCAAAGTCTTTGTCCCCAGGGTCGGCGAGTCCAAATCTAGAGGGCGTAGATTTAAGGTGAGAGGGGAAAGATTTAACAGGGACCTGAGGGATAACATTTTCACACAGGGGGTGGTGCATGTATGGAATGAACTGCTGGAAGAAGTGTTGGAAGCTAGTACAATTACAACATTTAAAAGGCATCTGGATGGGTATATGAATAGGAAGGGTTTAGAGGGATATGGGCCAAATTGCTGGCAAATGAAACTAGATTAATTTAGGATATCTGGTCGGCATGGATGAGTTGGACCGAAGGGTCTGTTTCCATGCTGTACAGCTCTATGACACTGACTCTAGTATTATACGATTTCCGTTTTAGAAATCCTTGCTGACTCTTACTAATCAACCTATCTTTCGCTATGTAATTACTAATTCTGTGGAGAATAATTGCTTCTACATGTTTCCCAAACACTGAAAATAAATAAACTGGTCTGCAATTGCTAGGATTATTTTTACAACCTTTCTTTAACAAGATTGCGTTATTTGCAATTCTCCAGTCTTCTGGCACCTCCCTGAGTCCAGGAATAACTGAAAGAGTGTGGCCAGTGCCCCAGTAATTTCTACACTCATGCATCAAAATCCTTGGATGCATCTCATTTGGTCCCAGTGCCTTGTCAATTTTAAGTGCCAATAATCTATCCAAGACTTCTTCCTTACCAATTTTGAACCATTCTAATAATGGAGTTTTGTCCTCTGCCACCATAGCCAACAACAGCATCTTGCTCTTGTATAAAGACAGATGCAGCATATGTATCTAAACACATAAATTATACCCCCACTATCCATGCGTAAATCCCATTTTTGATCTTAGATAACCTTACTCCTCTTCAAATTGCTCTTACTGTTTATTTGCCTATAGAAAACTTTAGGATTTCCTTTTATGATGGCTGCTCGTCTTTTTCTCATAGCTCCTCAGTGCTTCTCTTATTTACCTTTTCACCACCTCCTAATCCTTACACCTGTTATAAACACACTTTTTCTTTCCAGTGTTATTTTCCTACATCCTTTGTAATCCAGGAATCTCTGGATTTGTTTGTCCTATCTTTTCATTTCAAGACAATATACCTCAGTTGTACCTGAACGATCTGCTCGTTGAAGGTGACCCTTATTACATTACTACTTTTCCCACCAATCTCTTATTCCAATCAATCCTGCTTAGTTCTATTCTTGTCCCATCAAAGTCATCTCTCTGCCAAATGTTTTTAAAACTCTTATTAAGGAAAGATTACACCTGTCTGAACTTTAACATTGAAAAGCTTCACAGCTTCTGTTTTCTTGTTCTCAGTAACACAGTGCAGAACCTAGCAGTTCTCACATTATACTCCAACCCATGCCATGTCAGCACTCCGTTAACCTGTCCATGACTCTTTGAAGCTTCTTTGTGTTCTTAAATTTAGATTCCCACTTATTTTTGTATTATCAGCATACTTAAGTACAATACTCTTAGCACTTGTTTTTTTTTAACTTTTCTGGTGCGGTATGGTACAATTGAATGGCTTACTCGACCGTTTCAAAGGAAAGCTATAAGTCGTCCACATTGTGTAGATCTGGAGTCTACAATAACCCAGAAGTTTCATGATCATGATTACTAAGACAAGCTTTTAATTCCAGATGGCATTAATTGACTGCATTTAAATTCCACCAGCCGTCTGAAGGTCAACACCATCCAGGACAAAGCGGCCCACTTGATTGATACACTATATACCACCTTAAATATTAACTCATTTCCTGACCGTCCTTTCATGGTAACAGCATTCTGTACAATATACAAGATGCAGTGTGGTAACTCGCCAAATTACCTTGGACATCACCTTCCAAATCCATCCGTGATCTAGAATGTCAAGGGTAGCAGACATATGAGAAAACCACCATCTGTATATTCCCCTCCAAGCCACACACCATCCCGACTTGGAACTAAAATTCCATTCCTTCACTCATGTAGTCATACTCCATTTGTAACAGTGGTTGTAGGTGTACCAGATGGGCTCCAGCTGTTCAATAATGCAGCTAAATGCCACCTTCTCACGGTCAATTAGGAATAAGCGACGAGTGTTGTCCTTGCCAGTGATGTTCCCATCCCACGATAAATAATAAAAAAACAATTAGAAATAGTTGATGTCTTTGCATTGATCCTTGCAACAAATTGATGACAGCCTGCTAACCTGACAATGGCCAGTTTATCTGCTTTCTATCTGTTAACCAAACCTCCATTCATCCTAATATATTGCCTCCAATTCCATGAGTCCTTATCTAGTATCTAATCTGTTATGTGGCAACTTATTAAATATCTTTTTTGAAATCAAAGTAGGTCACATCTATAGATTCGCCTTTGCATACCCTAGTGGGTACATTCTCAAAAAAACTGCGATATGTTGTCAAATGTGACTTTTCTTTCACACAACTTTTTCTGTTAATAACCGATTACTAGTTGTATTGTTAAAACTTCCACAGAAAGATCTTCCAGCATTCCCCTGATGACTGATATCAGGATAACTGGTCTACAGTTCTCTATTTTCTCTCTTGCGTAGATGTCTATTCGAAATCAGATAGTTGAACATCTAGTCAATATGTAGTAGTAATTTCTGTTGAAGTACAAAGCTGGTTTGCAACAAGTGTCTAAAAACAGTGTGAATGTCTGAATTGGTAGAAAATGGTGAGAAATTGATGATCGTGTAAAATGGTTAGGGTGAAAAACCATTGGTATAAATGTTGGAGGAAAAACATGTGAAACACGGTTGAATTTCATACGTCATTCATTTGCTTGAGTGTAGTATCTATACTTTGAGAGTTATAACTCAATTTAAAAATAAAAGGTTGGAGGTTACTGTGTATGAATGCTGTTAGTTATAATCCTGATCTTTTTGCTTCCCCAGAGATATGAAGAGGCAGCAATGAACTCTTCTTCTGGAGCGGGTCACCTGCACAAGTAAGAAATTAACCGATGCTATTTCAAATCAGTGACATCTCTTTAGTCTGATACTGATACTGAAATTAAGTATATTCCTCCTGTCCAGAGAACACCTACTGCAGTCTTAAATAAGTTGTTATAATTCTTGTGCTTGAAACAGTGAGCAGTATTAAAGCTGAAATCTAACTGATTACCAAATGTTTAGTTAAATAAAAGGCACAATGCTGGTTTGGAGTATGATAAGAAAAATAATTATGTATCTTTCTTTTGGGTCCTCAAATTTTTATGTGCAAAGTTAGTCTAACATGTTAACACATTCATCAAATAAGAATTTACTGTCAGAGATTAGAGAATGACCAGAATCCACTTTCTTATAAAGGCTATACATTCTGCAGATTCAAGATGGATCATTAAAGGCTTTTTTCACAGATGTAGTGGAATCTTTTATTGCAAATCTTCAATCTATTAAAGATTTGATAAAATGGAGTCTGTGATCACGGTCATTGACGTTCCTCATTCTTGGCCCTAAATGATTTTGGGTAGTCAATTAGTCTGCAGTGAGGCTGGGTTCCTGCAGTTCCTTCATATAACTCTATCAGTTGTACAAACACATGCAATGATTGCTGATCCATTGTATCCTGAACAATTGTTCCTTTCCTGTTGAGGTCCCGTATTCATATCTGTTTCCCTTGACCCAAGTGTGTCAACTGCTTGCCTGGTGACATCTATTAGAGTGGGTAGCTTGCCGCTTCTGATAAGACTATTCTTTGTTTACGTGCATTGTTAGAAACCTGTAGTGTCAATCTCTTGGGTAGCACAGGGAGTTGAGTCTTCAGTTTTCTACCCACTAGTAATTCTGATGGTGATTAACTACATTAAGGTGGGATGGACCAGTAATTTAACAACACTGTATGTCAGCACTTTTCTTCAAAAAAAAATCTTGACAGCTCCCATAGTTCAGCTGCAAAGAAGCTGAAAGACCCATTCACAAACTGTGGTGTATTGTTTGGGAAAGCCACAACAGGGATCTCGTGTATAGTAACTATTTCATGCAAGCTGCTGAAACAGTGTAAGATAGCAGACAATGACACATCCCTCCCTGATGTGCTCAATGCTTTCTAAGCTCGGTTTGAGCAGAATACCACTGGTGTGGCAATGCCTACCCTGACAGCCCCAGACACACCTGCTCCCCCCGTCACCGTTGTAGACATCAGATTGGTCTTCCTGGGAGTCAACCCAAGGAAAGCGACGGGCCCGGACGGTGTCCCCAGCTGAGCACTCAGATCCTGTGTGGACCAATTGGCGGAGGTATTCACCGGCCTCTTCAACCTCTCCCTCCTACAAGCTGAAGTCCCCACCTGCTTTAAGAAGACCACCATCATCCCCATCACCAAGAAAACACAAGCAATTTCGCTAAATGACTACCACCTAATAGCTCCGACTTCAATAACCATGAAGTGCTTCAAGAGGCTGGTCATGGACCACATCAACTCCAGTCTCCCAACCTGCCTTGATCCCCTACAGTTTGCCTACTGATGTAACAGGTCCACAGATGATGCCATAAATCTAGCCCTGGAACATCTGGACAACAAAGATACCTATGTCAGACCCCTGCTCGTTGACTACAACTCCGCCTTCAACACTTATCCCCTCCAGATTGATCTCAAAACTGCATGATCTTGCTCTCAGCTCCGCCCTCTGCAACTGGATCTTCTGACCCATAGGCCACAATCAGTGAGGATAGATAACTGCACCCCCTCCACAATAGCACTCAACACTGGATCCCCCCAAGGATGCATTTTCAGTCTCCTACTTACTCCCTGTACACCTACAGCTGTGTTGCCTAATTCCAAATTAACGCCATCTACAAGTTCACTGATGACACCACCGTAGTGCGACTGATATCTAACAACAATGAGTCAAAATAGAGAAAGGAGATAGAGGGCTTGGTGACATTGTGCAATGAAAACAATCTGTCTCTCAACATTGGCAAAACTACAGAACTGATCCTCAAATTCAGAAAGAAAGGAGGAGAACACATCAACGGAACTGAGGTTGAGAAAGTGAAGAGCATCCAGTTCCTCGGAGTGACGATAACCAACGACCTCTCCTGGACTTCCCACGTAAATATGACCGTCAAGAAGGCACAACAACGCTTCTTCCTCAGATGGCTCAGGAAATTTGGCATGTCCATAAGATCCCTCACCAACTTCTACAGATGCACCATTGAAAGCATACTGTCTTGGTGCATAACAGCCTGGTATGGCAACTGCTCTGCCCAGGACCGTAAGAAGCTACAGAAGGTGGTATGCATAGCCCAGATCATCACGGAAGCCAACCTTCCAGCCATGGACTCTATTTACATGGCTCGCTGCCATGGAAAGGCAGCCAACATCATCAAAGACCCATCGTACCCTGGTAATGACCTCCTTCAACCTCTTCTGTAAGGCAGAAGATACAGAAACCTGAACACACGCACAAGCAGGTTCAGGAACAGCTTCTTTCTGACCGTTATCAGACTGTTGAATGGACTGTAGCGTCAAATAATGTAACCTGTATGCCTCTAAGTCTTTTTGATCTGTACATCCTTTGCTTGCTATGATCTGCCTGTACCGCTCATAAACAAAGCTTTTCATTGTTTTTCGGTACACGTGACAATAAAATCAATCAATCAATCAGTTGCATCTGTAATGATGCATAACTTCTTTTCCTCAATCCACTATGAAAATAGTTCACAACAATAATTAAGAGTGTATATCAAGTATAAATGAGTCTGTTCCCACCGTTGCCATGGTCAGGTTGGGAAAGGGATCTGTACGACCAGCTCTAGCTGGTCAGGCCTGTAAATGGCACAAATTTCACAGTCAGTTATGAAATTCTCAATCTCTTTGAGATCCCTAGCCACCATAGCAGGAAACAAACTCTGGCTGTGCTCAGCAATTTCAAGTGTACCTAATGTATCTTTCCTAACTTTTTCCACAGCCTTTAATCAAACACTAGCGAGTCATCTACAGTTGTGAAATGCTGTCAATACTCAAAGTGAGCCTTTAAGGTGAACCCACTGGGGCTTTGGTCTGGGCAACATTTGTTGCAATAACAAAAAATGGCAACATATTTTCAATCTTTCTTTTGTCCATTTTGTGTTTGCTGTCACCTGTAGCTTTCCTTTCATACAGTTCATCGAAGGGTAAACATCATAGGACAAGGTCAGAATCTTTGTACCTGTAGAGCTACCTTTGCAAATTCTTTTCTCAACTATTCAGGAAGCCAACATATACGGACTGCCTCTATGAGCACTTTCCAAGTATATAGTCAAATGTACATGTGACCAAAGAGGTCTCTTCTCTACGACTGCACAGTGTGTCACTGAGTTTGACAGTGCCTTGAAGGCATAATACATCAGTTTTCAACACCCATCAGTTTGCTCCTGAAGGAGCACCGCACCTAATGTTGTAGTTGAATCACCTGCAACTGTGTTAGTTGGAAAGGATGATTGCACTGGGCTAAGACATCTGTGGACATCAGCATCCTTGAGCTTTTAGAAAACATATTTCTGTGTCTGCAGCACCATCCTACCCTGTGCTTCAGGTGTTGTCTCAAGTGAGTCAAGTTGTAAGTTGCCAAGTGAGGCAAAAATTTTGCCAACTGGTTTATATTGCCTAGGAATCAGTTCAGATCACGAGCCCATTTTGGAATTAGAAACTCCTTAAAATACTTTTTTTTCCATGGGCCTGTCAGTATTCTATCACTGTTAACAATATGTCTCAAAGTATGGTTACTTTGAAAGCTTCACATTTGTGGTTGAGTGTCAGCTCTGTGGCCTTAATGCAGTTTAGAACTGCATGGACCCTGTCTTTGTGATATGTATCAATATGTTACCTATACAGCGTATGGCACCTTGTAAACCGTGTAAAATATTGGTAATCCCGAATGACAGTCTGTTGAAGCAACATCTGCTAAAAGGAATTACAAAGGTAGCATGCATGGCATGGCACCTGCCAGAACCCACTGTTGGCATCAAGTTGGTGGAAACTCTGCTTTTACACGCTTCTGCTAAACTCTCAACAACTGTAGACATTGTGTAGATTTCACTCGCCACTGCTTTTTTAAACTGTGTTAGGTCTAAACAAGTTCTGATGTACTCTTTTTGGGTCTGGGTACAATAACTATGCTCAAACACCACTTGGGTGGTTTCATCACCCATTCTTCCTCAAGTTGCTGTTGAATTTGTATTATATGGGTGGAAAATCTTTGAGTGTACAGATATATAATTACTTAATATCTTCCTTTAATAAGATGCTGTATTCAGCATTATGCTTCCTGTGATCAATTTAGGCTTACTGCTTCTTTTATTCCTGTGCTATCCAACTTCTTCAACATTTTGAAGAAGACTGAGGCAAAGCACTTGCTCTTGCTGAAGAGTGAGTATTCTTGAGTGTGAAATTCGTACACATTCTCAAATATCTTCCACCCTTTGTGTTGCAGACTTGCTTGCAACAAATGTACATGAGACGTAAACCTCCTGGACCGTATAGTACCCATGAGTTTTCTTTGCTTCACAGTGCTGGTACTGATTCTTAGCATTGCTGTCTGGCCTAATCCTTGGGTTGACATGTCAAGGATGTCTTTAGAGTTTTTATACTATATAAACAATGAATTCTGCAGATGTCTTCCATGAAGTTTGCTATTCTCCTCTTAGGATATATGTTTCTTCCAGACCTCTTGCACCTACCATCTAAATGGCTTTCTCCAAAGTAAATATCTTTGGAATATAATATATCTGACATAGATTCATCAGTAATTTCAACAATAATTCAATATTTTATGAATCACTTATCTGTGGATTCCCCTGAATAATGAACCCTTCTGTTAAGTCTGACTCTTACACAGTAGAAGTTTTGAAGAAAAGTCATATCAGACTTGACACATTAACTCTACTTCTCTGTCCACAGATACTATCAGATCCACTGAGTTTCTTCAGTACTTTGTTTCTTTTCCTACATGTTGAGGTCTGTCTGATGAAGTGCGTTCATAAATTCGTCATGAATAACCACTTCTTGTTTCTACCTGCTCTTACGCTGTTTTGCTTCAATTAACTTGCTGAGGATTTCATAAACCTGAATCATGTCTACTAGCTGTGCCTGTTTCCCCTTGAATGTTGTACTATATCACGTTTATTTACCAGCTCCAGGTATCTGTTGTGGGTGAAGGAGATTAGCAGAAGCAGCTAGATAGATAGTGTTTGTCACTAGGGTATCAATTAGATCCTGCCTTCTGATGCCACCAATATAAACACAGCTAAAATATGTTAATGTTTGCATCTAGGTGGGGCAGGACATGTGCTTAGTTAATAGATGGCCCCGCAGCAACAATGAATGCAGTCAATCTAAATCTGTAATACAGTGACTTCTCAGTTGTTATTTTAAAAATGTTGCTGGGTTTTGAATGTGAATCCATTGTGAGTAGATATATAACACCTTCCTGGTGGACACTCCATCAGCAAGGATAGAAATCTATTAGGTACCCTATGATAGAGTTTAACTGAAAACAATGCCTGAAGAGCAGCAAGCCATCCCCAATATCTAACAAATTTACAATCTGTTCATCTTCAATGAGCAGAGTACGTTTTTGAACCGAGAAAATTCTTTATTCATTGCTTACAAGCCCATTTATATTCCGAGTCACATTTTGCATGCATAATTTCCTGATTGCAAGACAAGCAGTGCACGCAAAGCAGTAGAGCAATGACCAATTCAGCCAAGGAGTTTAACATTGCTTTAAGTGTGGCTCTACTTTTAGATTTTAATACCTGATATACTCTCCCTCAGGCTCATGAAAATGATGCTGAAGTGGAATTTTCCAAATAATTGTATGACCTCAAATCTCTCATGTCTGTTTCAAATTCAATGGCTCCATGCATTAAAGCCATAGTTTTGAACAACAGTGCAAGTGGTTATTCAACACTCTGTTTGAAATTATTTTAATTTATTATTGGAACTCCAGTTTTTCATAGATTCAAACAATACCCGATCTACTGTGAGTGGTTTTGTTGGAACAGTCTCATAACATTGGAATTGTAAACCCTTCAGAATGCCTTTAAGAATTTTACTTGTAACATTGCTGAAACTCTCTTAAAGCCAATTCTTGAATTGTATTTTGTCCAGCCATAACAGTGGATATATGCAGCCAAGAGAGGAGATGAGACAGGAGCAGTCCCAGCAGGAACCAGTATACTCAAACAGGCCTATATATGCTGAGGAACTCAAGACAAGATCTTCAGGACACAATCCAGGTACGATGGGCTGATGGCTTTCAAAGCAAATCTTATCTCGGGTCAATCTGTTTCCATAGTTCTTGGCCCTCCTGTTATAGTTTATATACAATTCACATTCATATTGGTGAGTTACTTGCAAGTAATTCTTCCACAACTAATCTGCATCCTCTTCTCAAGCAGTGTAATGGTTTCCTTTTGAAAGTTGATATTGTTGAGGAGATGGAGTGACTGTCTTTGACTAAGTGTAACATTAAGGAGCCCTAGCAAAGTTAGAGTTTATGGAAATCATCAGGAAAACAGTCTGCTGGTTGAAGCCATATCTGTCTCAAAAGAAGATGGTTGTGGTTGTTGGAGGTCATTCCAGCTCCAAGACATCGCTGCAGGTGTACCTCAGGGTAGTGCCTTAGGCTCAGCCATTTTCATCTGCTTCATCATGATCTTTCCTTAATTATAAAGTCAGAATTGGGAATTTTTGATGAGTATTGCTCAACCCTCAGCACTATTCATGTCTCCTCAGACACTGAAGCAGTCCATGTCCAAATGTAGCAAGATTTGGACAATATCTGGATTTGGATACCTGCAACAAAATTCAGCTCCTGACTCCCCTCAGCCTGTCCAACAAAGCACAAGTCAGGAGTGTGATGAAATACTGTACACTTGCCTTGATGAGTGCAGTTGAAGCAAGACAACAAACTAGACACCATCCAAGTCAATGCATCTGGAAACATTCACTCCCTCCATCATTGACACTAGCAGCAATTTGTACCATCAGCACAATGCAGTGCAACAATTCATCAATGCTCCCTAGAGAGCCCCTTCCAAAACTGCACCCACTCCCATCTTGAAGCACAAGAGCAGCAGATAAGTGGCAACATCATCACCTGCAAGTTCTCCTCCAAGCCATTTGCCATCCTGACTTACGAATGTGTTGGTCTTCCTTCAGTATTGTTGCGTCAAATTCCTAGAGCTCCCTCCCAGATAGCCTGGTTGGTGTACCTGCACCAAATGGATTACAGCAGTTCAAAAAGTTAGCTTACCACACCATCTCAATGGGCAAATAGGGATGGACAATAAATGCTTGCTCAGCCAGTGACGACCACATCCCTTAAACAAATTTTTTAAAAGGTAGGATGATTCAATGGAATTAGTACATGCTGAGTAAGTGATCAAGTAATTGATGAATGAAATATAATGTGGATAAGTGTGTGGTTCTTCACTATAGTCAAAGTAATGGCGGCGCTGAAAATTCCTTAAATTGAGAGAGATTGAAAAGTGTTGATGTCTAAAATGCCTAAGTGTCCATATTTGTACTTCATTGAAGGTTAATGTGCAGCCCATAATCAGAAGGATAAATGGTATGTTGACCTTTATCATAAGAGGACTGAGATGGGGACATGGGGCGATGGGTGGTGTCTAGTCTAGGGGGACAATCTCAGTATGAGGGACAAGACATTTAAGACCGAGATATGAGAAACAAGATTGGGTACAGAGTTTATGGTCTGAGACTGTTGAACATAATGTTGTATCTAGAAAACTATTAAGTGCCTACTCAGATGATGAGATTCTGTTCTTTGGGTTTGCGTTGAGCTTCACTGGAACCCTGCCAATGATGGAATTGTGAGCGTGAGAGCTAGCTGGTGAATTAAATGGCAAGCAATTGGAAGCTCAGGGCCAGGTTTGCAGGCTGAGCAGATGCATTCTCCAAAGCAGTTACAAAATCTGTGTATGGTTTCCCTAGTGTAGAGGAAACCACACTGTGAGCAACCGATACAGTAGACTAAAATGAAAAGTACAGAAAAAAATTGATTCACTTGAAAGGGGTGTGTGGGCTTTGGACAGGAGGAAAGAAGAGGTAAAAGGATGCATGGTGTATGATATGGGAAGTGTAAACTTATTCACTTTAGTAGAAAGAATGGATTTTTTAAAAATGTGAAATACTGCTAGAAATCAAGATTCAGAAGAATTTGGATGCCTCTGTACGCTATCACAACATCAATATGCATTGACATCAAGCAATTAATAAGGCAATTGATAAATGCTTTGTTAAACTTCATTGTGGCATGTGGGGTACATTTGTTGGAGTATAGGGGTAAGGCAACTTTATTACAATTATAGTGGGCTTTATTGAGGCAACAGCTGGATCACTGTAAACAGTTTGAAATGTTTTTTTCTGAGGAAGTATATCTTGCTTTTAGAAGTTACTAGCTAGTATGAGACGAAAGATTGAGTAGGACAGGTCTATGTCATACTGAACTGAAATGTAGAATAATAAGAGGTAATTTAATAGAAATAAAATAATTTCAGGACTTGACCGTGTTGCTGCTGAAAGTTTGTTTCCCCTTGCTGAAGCTTCCAAAACTAGGATCAAAATCTCAGGATTAGGGGTCAGTAATTTAGGACTTAAGAGAAAGTTATTCACTGGGGATGGTAAATTGTTAGAATTCTCTAGCAGAGTACAATGGGATACTAAGTTATTGAGTATATTCAAGCTAACAACATCAGATTATTGACCACTAAGGAAGCCAGGAGTTCTGGTGTTCTTGGGGATAGTGGAGTCTAGACCCCTCATGATTTTGAACCTCTCCACAAAATCATTTCTCAATTTTTCCTTCTCCAAGGAGAACAACCCCAGCTTCTCTAATCTATACGTCTAACAAAATCGCTGGAACCATTCTTTCAAATCTTGTTTTGCACCCCTTCTAAAGTCTGAGCATCCTTCCTAAATTATGATTATTAGTGTTGGGCACAATATTCCAGTTAGAGGCCAAGACAGTATTTAAGGTTCTTCATGAATTCCTTGACATGAATCTTCCACATTGCCCACTTCTGCTGAATAAATATATTAAATAAACATTATCGTCCGGTTTGGAAAAACTTTGCAAGCAACAGCAATCTGACCAGCATTGCTACTGACAGAAAATTATACCTTTACCTATAAAGCCTGAGTTTATGTGTGTCCTTTTAACCATTTTCTTAACCTGTCCTGCTACAGTTTGTGTATATACGCTTCCAAACATCTCTGTACTATTTTGTAATGCTTTACTTCATTCTTTCTACCAAAATGTATCACTTTGTACTTCTCTGAACAAAATTTGATCTGCCCCATAGCTGCCTGTACCAACAGCCTGTCAGTCACCTTGACATATATTACAATCCTCCTGAAGAGTCACAATATTTCCAAATTTTGTTTCATCTGCAAATTTTGAAATTGTGCCCTGTGCACTCAAGTAGAGGTCACTAAGTCAAGTGTATCTTTATCACATATCCTTAATAAATGTATATACACCACAACAACAGGATTACTTTCATCAATATTCTGTTACCTCATAACCTTTGTTTTTCAATTTCAAATTCCCATGTCCTTATTCTGTACATGCACTTTATCAACCTTAGTAACCACACTGTGTGTTTAAATACATGCACTTACAAACCCAATTCAGACTTATTGCATTCCCTCTTTGTCTGACCCCACTTGAAAGCTTACTGATTCTTCTTCTAGAGCTGTCTTTCTCTCCCAATTCATCATGCACCTTGCTTCTATATTTTAATGCTGCAATTTGGTTTCTAGCCCCTGTCTAGTTAATTTAGACATTCCCCTACACCACTAACAAATTGTTTCATGAGATCTTTGATCCCGACTGTGTTTGGGCACACTCTGGCCTATATAGGTGCCCGGAAATCTAAAGCTCTTCCTCTGGTACCATCTGTCCAAACATACATTTATCTACTCAAACTTCCTATTCCAGTGCTCAATGACACATGTTGTGGAAATTACTACCCTTCCAGTACTATTTGCTGATCTCATTACTTACCACCAAGGTCTGTTTGCAGGGCTTCATCCATTTTTCTACCTATATTATTGATAGTGATATAGTAGATGACGTCTGGCTGTTCATCCTCCTCTCCCTCAAAATGAAATGCAGATGTTCAATGATATTACTGACAGTAGCAATAGGGGCACAGTCTACCTTTCTTGCAAAGATTTGTAGCTCGGGTAGGGGATGAGGTTGTTGGATTGCTTGCCAAGCTGGCTTGTTATCTTACAGACGTTTTGTCACCATGCTAGGTAACAGTATCAGTATGGCCTCTGCACATCAATTTAACTGGGACAATGTGACCATCCTAGCTCAAGCCAAGCACAGACACACACGGGAATTCCTAGAGGCCGTTTTTCAACCCATAATGCAATCAATAAACATGTGGAATTAGAGTAGAACAACATTGCATCATAGGAGGCTTCACTGATGATGTTACCTAGTACAGGGACGAAATGTCTTTATGATAACCAGCCAGCTCGGCAAGCAAACCAACAACCTCAGACAATCTACAGTCCTCGAATTATATCTGAGACCACATAAATAACTGTATATCCCCCAAATAAAGACTCCTATGTTGTTAGCTTTAAAAGTTTATATGTAAAACAATTTCATATAACTTTGATCTAGTTTTTTGTGAGTGTGGGCCCAAAATAGCAATGATTATTAATCCTTTGCGGATACAAAGTGTGCAGGAACATTAGTGTAAGATAAGGGATGTTTTATGTATGTTTGAGCTACAATGCATTACCTGTTTGGAATCCAGAAAGATTTATCTGTGTGTTTAACTTGCTGATGATATGTGCTCCATTACCAATAACACAGTCATCAAGTACAAAGTCTAAAATTTACCAACTTCAACACATTTTGTTCTAAAATGCTCCTATGAATTCCTTTTGGGATTTCTTATTGTGTTCGCTGTGCTATATAAATAAAGGCTGTCATTTGTACTTTCAAACAGCTCAATGTATGAGAGGTATTTTCTCACATCTGAGGCATGTGATCAACGTGTTAGGCAACACATCAAAGACTTAATTTCTGGAAAATTAGCACAAAATTCACAATTGGAAAATCATCTGAAGCATCGAAAATATATCATTTGACAGTTATGGAAAATAACCTTAGAAGACTTGAGTTTGTGAAGGTGCCCTTGAGTTAACTTGTGTTTAATGGATTGAGTCTGAGCAAACTAAGTTTGGGATA